GGGGGGGGGCAGCGCGTGGCCAACCTTGTTCTGACGGCTTGCTGTCAGGATGGTGTCACTTGATATTCAAATGACTTTGGCTAAATTTAGAAACGAGATAGATGCCGCGTCTCTTGCCTGCGCATGTACCAAAGTGGAACTAGTCGGACTAAGATGGCCTTTGGGCGTGGCGCTCGTCTCGGATCAAAGTTCGACTAGGGTACAATATTCGGTTTGGCTGGCGTTGCTCGAACTTTAAGGGCGCGCCAAGACGCCACGGCTTCCCTTGTGCACTGATGTCCATGAACGACCACTCTCGGGACGCCTCATCGATTGCAAACGGGGAGCGTCGTGGTTGGCTTTGAAGTTGTTCGCATCCAGTAAATCTTTCTTCCTTGCATGACCCGAGGGAAAACCTGCCGCTGGCAATCCAGGCAATGCTCGGAGAATGAAATGAGAACATTCATAGGCGTTTGGGACGACGTTGCGCCGTTTGCACAACGGAGCACGTGTCTCTGATTAAAAAGTGGACCGGAAGCAAATTTGAACCACGTCCTATTTCTTTTGGTTCTGCTTCACAGTTGCAATCACTTGATGTGCAAATGATGAGACCGCCACGTCCAACCTTCCACGAATCAAGTGGCTCGGCATCATCGCTTACTTGACAACGATTCAATGTGCCGTCCCTCGCATTGTGATCGCGTGGCATGTGAAGTGACATTTGTTCGACGGTTTTTCCTACCAACCGTCCCATTTTAAAAATGAAGGGGCTTTTTTTTTTTTTTCCCCCGCACGATCGCGTGACACAAGTCTGGTGACGTCACCAGCGTCCCAATAAATACTTTCAACTTTCACCGAGCCACTGTTTTCGCCGCGAAGTATTTTTGCCGCATCTTCCGTTCGTGTGATTGCGTCACACAAATGGGTCACGATGGACGATGGAAAAAAAATGAATTAAATGTCATTCAATCGCGTTCTTGGAGGCGGCCCTTTTTGTTTGGGGCACCGTGAAGCTCGCAAGGAAAAAGAAGCGAAGGGACATCTGTCGCGATGTTTGGGTTTGTTGGAAGGAAGTTGAAACGTTGTTCTTACCATTTTAGACGACGACGAGGAGCGAGGAGAGGATGGTGGAGGACTTAGCCGCTCGGAGGCTTTTGGGGGTCACCTCTGTCGAAGACTACGCCTCTTTACTCGCGCGCGACATGTGGGACTTGAAGTCTTTTAAGGGAGCAAACGCCTGCCACCCTCCACATGAAGGACTACATGTCCCATGAGGCACTGCGGAACCCATCCCGCGCCTACTGCTCCAAACTGGGCTTGTGATCAGGAAATGTAAACGCTACGTGAAATTAAGTACATAATCGAGTAGCTATAATACTAATACCAATACTACTACTAATAATAATAATCATAATCATAATCATCATCATCACAACAATAATAATATCTCAAAATGTAAAACTTCGAATACAGTATATGCGTGTGTTCATGTGTTCATCCCCTTTTACTACTCAGTTATTGATAGTTTAGTTTATTTTTATCATAATGACATCCTGGGAAGAAAAAATCCGTCGCTATAGTTCATTCATTTGCTTTACATTTTTTTCGCTTGAGTCCACGTTGCGTTAGCGACATCACGTGTCAAATATTAGGACTGCAAGATCGGGAGACGGTAGGTAGGTAGGTAGGTAGGTAGGTAGGTAGGTAGGTTCAACAAAATTTCAGGTGAAAGAAAATCTCAACAAAACATGTTGAAAGTAATCAATAAATGTATAGTAATTGTGTTGTAAGAGCGGCATGTGTGCGCATGGTTGCGTTAAGCGGCATTAGCGTACTTAGCGTCCTTTAAGAACCTGACAGGCGCCGTGGCAGCAAGTGCCTCCTGAACCGCCTCACCTCTCACCCGCACCATACGACTACTCCAATTACACTCCCAAATAAAACCCACCACACAAAAACAGTAATAAAGTGGGAAAGGTATGAATATGGAGTCCCACCATCTGATGTGATCTTAACGCAAGCCCGGTTTCCCGAGAACAGATTTGGCCAGGTCTTAATAATACAACCATTTTCTATCACATCTATCCAACGAAGAGTACGGCACTGCAATAGTCAAAAGGGATGGTATTTCAAATACTCCGTATCCTGTTTGCATTTATTTTGAAAGAAACCACCGGATATGGTCAGTGGTACTAAAGCAAAATCTTGACCAAGGAGTCAGCAGGTGGACGCGTGTACCACGTGACACTACACTAGAAAGTCTAGTTTGGACAAATTCATTTGGTGACTTCCGGGAGCAACAACGGCGGAGGCGGAAAAAAAAAAAGCGGCAGTGGTGCATTCACGGACCCCGCACTAAACCGTGAACGGCAGCGGCAACCTCGCGATTGACGTCCATGGACGCAGCACTGACGGAGTGGTGCGTTCACGGATCGCGGGACTGACCTGCGACGAAAAGGCCCGTGCCATCAGATACATGGAGGTCAGCAACGTCAACATGATTCTTCAATCACGTCCGCTCAGCACAGATGATGACGAAGATGAAGATGACGGCCACGTCCTCCTTCCCGCCACCAAGTAAAAGACAGATGGACACGGGGGACATAGAGCTGCGCATGCGCAAATTCCTGCCTCAAGGTGATGCGACACACACACACACACACACACACACACACACACACACACTCGTCTAGTCTGTAATGAGATTTAAAGAATAAAAATAGATGCTACTAAACCGTTTTTGTGTCATTGACTGTGTGTTTTCAACTTTTCAATTCTTTTTTTTTTTTCTTTTTTTAAACCAGACTACAATGTTCAACTTTTGGAAACAATTCCATCGAACTGCAAGTACAGTGCTCTCATTTGAACAGGTGAACAGTGACCTCACCATCCTATTTAGATTTTTTTTTCCCCATGGAATATTGTTATGAGAATGTTCTTGAATGGACTATATGTATACTTTTTAAAAAAATATCTTGATCCATCTCATTAATTTTGTATGGAAAACTTCAAATCTTATTGGGAGTTGGTAAGGGAAAGAAAAGTCCTAAGAAGCCTCATGCGCGAGTCTAGGCATGTGATCATCATTCTCTCAAGATATTAAAACGAATCTTGCAATATTTTGGATGACAGTCACGTCGTCGGAAGCCGTGCCTGATGAAGGCATGAACGCTTCCGACGTGGCCATGAATCAAAATATTGCGAGTTTCGTTCTCGTATATCCAGACTATGATTATCATTATTTTCACAGATGTGAATTTTGGGGAAAAATCTTTTATGTTCTTTGTTCAATCAGTAACGGAACGTTGTCACTCTAGGAGGGAAAATATACAAGCGGGTGTGGAGGTTTTGTCACTTTAATAGAATACCCACGAGTCTGTCAACAGGTACAACTTTGCCGCTCTCACGTACTAAAATCACTCACGTCCATCGAGAAGATATAAATAGCCAACCAAGAAGAAGCGTCATCACCAAAGACATCAAATCATCAAGTATTAAGTTAGGGACATCAAATGAAAAGGCGTACAAAATATCGCAGAGGTTGGGAGTCCAGTTCGGAGGGGGTGGGGCACAAAGAAAATCACATTGTTAATTAGTAAACAGAAGCAAAAGAATCAGCTTTGAGACTCTCAATGGGACAAGACGGCCTTGACGGCAAGCTGCTGAGGAGGGAAAAGTCCTTTCGGGCGTTTTGTTTTCATCGCCTTCAACTCCCCCCATCTTGTGGTCCATGTAACTCGAGCGCTTTGATCCTCACTGGTAAGCGCGCTAAGGTTGACCCGTCCGCAACCCGACGAGTAGCGCCGCTTTGGCACGTGTCACACCCCTACCCACCGGCATCGATAGTAAATCGGCCAGTTGCTCTCCTTATTGTTAAGCTCAACAAATACGTAAGGGCAAAGTAACTATTGTCAATCAATTGACATTCCCAAATTTAGGAGTGTTCCAAGCCCCCCCCCCCCCGTCCCAACTGTGGTGTTGAGAACACGCATTCATGTCATGGTAACTTTGAGGTGGCGAATGTTTGCCCAAACGGTCGCGCTTAACAGAGAGGACAAAATTTGTCGTCGTACACGGAGCTAAAGATGGCCGGCGGAGGAAACGCCAACACGATTCCCCCCCCCCCATGAGGAGTTTGTCATTTGTGGGCTGGCGAGACAAAGGCGTCATGTCGCCGCCCTACTGGATGCAGCAGTTGTTGCGATGGCTGTTGGAATCTTTGAAGCGCAGCCGCATCTTTGGACGATATTTCTCCAGGTAGAAGAGCTGCTTGCTGTTGAACGCGCCGCGACAAAGAGTGGGGGGGGGGGTGATAATTTTCGTCATTCAAGCAGCCGCATTAACACAAAGTTTTAGCATGGAAGCGGTTGTATTTGGAGGACAATGACTGAGCGCTGCTTCTATTTGACATCGTTACACATGCAAGCGCTCACTTGTGTCCCCATTTCGAAGACATGAGGAAAAATACGCGATTGGCCTTGACAAGCGGGCTCACGTTCTTCAACATTCCATTGTTTGGGAAGGTTAACGTGAAGGAAAAACGCTGCCAATGTGACTCACTGCCGGATGAACTGCACGGCGTCTTCGTACTTCATGCCGCACTCGATGAGGGCGAGGGCGACCAGGACGGGAGCTCTGCGGGGGAAGGTGAAAAGGGGGGTTGGTTGGAGGGGGCGAGACGTCTGAGCGGGAGGCGGCGAGGAGGCTCCGGCCGAGCGCTCACCTGCCGAGGCCCGCCACGCAGTGCACGGCCACGCAGCAGCCCGGCTCCTCGCGGAACTTGAGCTTGAGCAGGTTGAGCCAATCGTCCACAATCTGGTTGGAGGGGGGAGCGCCGTCGTCAAACGGCCAGTCCTGCGCGGGAGCGGAGAGAGACACAGACAGCCACCCGCAAAATTAAAAGCGGCTCGCACCTTTCACACGTTTAGAATGGAGAAGAAAAAAAAAAAAATGCAGGATGAGAGCAGAAGTTGTGAAGAGTCCACTATTGGTACCATGGCTCCCTCTACTGGTATAGGAGAGAATTGCTACCATAGCTCAAGAGGACGATAGCATTGTTTGTCAAACTTTTCTTTTAGGGTAAAGTGCCCTTGGATGATTTTCATTTTTTGGTAACCCACACGCACCTCGGCCCTCCATTTTATTTATTTATTCTTTTTTTTTTTTTTGGGGGGCCATCACTGGCTGCAGATGATCACATGACATGGCTTGTCCAATCGGTGCTGCGGGAAATTTCGTTCGCTCAGTCGTCACCGTGTGACTGTCGTGAGAGTACGTCGTACAATTGGGGAAAAAAAAATGTCACTTTATTTACTTTTATTTTCAGTTTTTTTTTTTTATGAACGCGTGTTTTTTTTTTTGAATGTCTTGAATGTGTAAGAAAAAAAAATCTCACTTTTATTTTTAATTTGTATTACTTTTGTACATATTTCATATATTTTTATTTTCACTTTTTCCCTCACCTGACAGATTGGTTTCTCGCACGAGACAGTTTGCGCTAAACCATGCGCGACTCACCAGGACTTGAATTCCCTCTTTCACCACCGGAGCGGCGTCATACGTGGCCTCGCACACCCTCACCGCCGTGGTCACGCCGTATTTCTTCAGCTCCTGCGGGTGACAGCGCACGTCAAACGCGAAAGGAGGCGGGCGCGCCGTTCGCGCCAACTTAAGCGCTTGAGTCGATAAGAGTTAGCAACTTCCCGGAATGCCCCCGGCAAAGCGGCCACAAATCACCCGACGCCGAATTACTCGCCAATTTTTGTCGGGGAAAATTTTGAATGGCGTCTTTTAGTTTTTCTCAAATTTTAGCCTAACTTCTACGCGACAACGATTTGTCAACGCAAGGAGCTTGGACGAGGCTCACCTCGATAAACTTGTTGAGGGTGGCGTTGGTGGGGTTGTGAGTGATGAGGAACCTCATGTTCTTGTAGGTGATCTCCACCGGCGCGGGTCTGTTCATGCGCGCCATGGCAACAGGAAGGAGAAAGGAGGGGGGGGGGGAAAAAAAAAGGCAAGGTGGCTTTGGCACGGCCAGGGGAGAGCAAGAGACGCTGAACGTAAACAGTTTGGCGTGGAGGGACGGGAATCCTCTGGGCGGCAATGGGGGGGGGCGTCTCGTCGGGGGACCACTCAGGGCGTGGCGGGCGGGGCAACAAAACGAGGC